AACAACTGCGAGTTCTACCCCAGAGATGGATGAATTCCTACAGCAAACAAAGCAGCTCCTTTAAAATCACCTACACCCCAACTCCACCACCAGGACTGCAAGGGCTGGGAGCTCTGCACACATTTAGGGTCCCACCAGAGCATTAGGATTGTTTGCTGGGTGATGGCACTCACGAGAAGGTCTTAGTTAGGAAATATTTATTAGAATGAGCAAGGCCCTCCCATAATTTTAGAGTATATTTCTTTCAATAAAAATTAACTACAACACATACTACAAAACTGCAGTGTGAGCAGAGCCCTGATACTGATACATATATGTATGATTTTGTAAACTAAACCAGTGCTAATATGAATTTAAAAATAACCTCATGAAGGAACTACCCAACCCTGCACACCCACATTATTTTCAGTTCTATAACAAACATTAATGTTGTTTTAAGAGTCTTTATATATGAAAGGAGAAGCCATGTAGGTAAGACATGGGAATCCAAAGAAAGACACTCAAAATTTTCTTTCCTCCCTGGGTGAATAACTCCAAGGTGTGACTTCCCCAGCAGCTGGGAAAGTGGCTGAGGGATCTAGACCACAGTTTAGAGTACATCAGACTCAAGATATGGAAGTTCCAGCATTGTCCCAGGCACAGTAATTTAGTTTTTCCTCAGCTCTTCCCCTGCTTCTGTCCAAAGAAATCCCAAGATCCCTTCCACCAACCTCAGCTTCTGATTTTCTGATAAACTTCTGGACTCTCAAGCACAGTCTTTAATGCTGGCTTTTTAACTTCTCTTAATTTTTCCCCCAGCTTTTTTTGCTCTGTATTCTTTACACCTTCCTTACTGAACTGGTAACTCACCCTCAGTTCCAGAGGAAAAAAACATGTTATTTTTCAACCCATTTGAAACTTTGAGTTTGATCCTGAAACCCCTAAAGTCAGAGGCAACAAGGACATTCCGTTCAGTGGGAACAGGACAGACCCAGGTTCCTGGACAGTGTGTTTTCAATCAGGGAGCCTTCACATTGAAAAGGAAATCATTTGCATCGTATTTGTATTCATTGTCCACCTCCACAGGAGGGGAAATGTGCTGAGCAAAAAGGTTAAGTGTGCTGATGCCAGGAGGGCAGAGCTGATCCAGGGATTGGATCAAAAGCCCAGTGCAGTCCCAGCTCGGGGGAGCCAGACCTGTTTGTTATGGCACATGGAAGGTCAGCTGAGATCCCTGTGTGTCACTTCATCCCAGGGACAGCCCAAGTGCCCCAAAACCAAAGCTCAAGTGAAAGGAGGTACCAAAAGGCAGCTGCTGCAGCCCCTCTGACAGTGTTTACTCACATTTGTCACTTGAGACCAACAGAGGAATGTCCTCCTGGAAGTGTTCATCAGGGACCCTCGGCTGGGGAAGCCAGGCAGGAGTTCCCTGGGCCTGGGGCAGAAACACTGGTGGGGTCTGTCCCATCCCTGGGTTCAGAGAATCAGCTGGAAAACCTGGGAAACACAACCCAGCCAGCCAAGCTGATTTTCAGAAGGCTACAACTTGCTCCAGAGATGGATCTCTCTCCTCTGGAAAGTTTTAGGCTCCTGCAGAAGATTGTGAGTCACTTGTTTTCCTGTTTTATACAACGTTACTTTTCCTTGCTATAACGTTTGACCTGATATTAAGTATTTCCTCTGGTGAGAAAACACTCAAACCCTTAATTTTAATTCCAAGAGGCTTCCCAGAGCTCCCAGAGTCCTTTCCCACTGTCTTTCACCCGCTTCATTTATATCTGCTGGATCATTTTTCTCCTCAGCTTTCAGTTTAGAGCTGAACCTCACAGTTCATCACCACTTCCATTTGTCTGGGATGATGAACAGCACCTTCTAGCCCTGTTAAGAGGGACCACTAACAGTGGGCAGCTCTTCTGGCAGCCCCTTCCCAGCCAGCCACGACAGGAGGGATGGAATGGGATCTCCCATCCTGGGGGAACATCTAGTTATCAAATATCTGAGATTGTATTCAAATATATCTTCCTGAAGATTAATAACGGGGAAACCTGGTGCAAACATCAGCCAAAGCAGGCTCCAAAGACTTGGAAAAGCACATCAAATCCAACAACACAGGTATCAGCAGGAATGAAACGTCTGGATTTTGACAACCTTGAACAATTCAGTAAATTCTGACTCTGATGGGAGTCAGGCAGCTGCCCCTGAGAACTGGGCAGTGGCTTCTGGGAGGAAGGAAATTGCTGCCACATGCAGTAAATAAAAAGAAGGTTTTTTAAAAAAAAAAATACACACATAGTTGTGCTGCAGAATCATTCCATTCAGCCTGGCCTGAAACACAGGCAGCTACAACCCCATCATTCATCTCCAACATAAACACACAGTGGGTTAGACTTGCAGTAACATAGGTTGGGATTTTTAGTAGATGACATAAATAAATGTATTTTTATATTTCCTGACCACATTAAGCTCGAAATCAGGAGTTCTAAAATGTGAGCCACACACTGTAAGGCTTCTAATGGCCAATAAATTCAGACAGTCACACTGGAGCAATGTTTTCTCCTTAAAGGTACATTTTGCTGCAGTGGATAGAAATACAAGGGGACTTGTTTTTTTATGGCTTTGTGATTATATGTAGCTGAACATGATCATTCAATAAAGGTTAAAGTTCTCTTAGGAGGACAGCAAGATGGAAACCACTTCAGAAGGCACAATCCCAGATCCCAAATATTAATTCTACGTGGAAAGACATTAGTAAGGAGAAGGGGGAAGGTTGGGGAAAATTACTTTCCCCCAAAAAAAGAGCAATCCTGGAGAGGAAAGGTAAAACATCCCAGCTCAAGAGCATCAATGTATTCCTCTGTTCCTGTCCCACCTCTGCTACACTAAGAAAGCACAAAACAAGTTTTATCCTGCCCAGTGCATCTACTTCCCATTTGTAAAGTAGGGATTACAGTGCTGGAATTCCTTCAGGTGGGGTTAAAGGAATGAACGACCTTAGAGAATCACCAGTGATACTTCAGAGCTAAAATACTCCCATGCTAAAGGTTATTTTTAATCTTTAGCCCTTTCAGCACTTCCAAGTGGAGATCAACATTATTACCATGACATCCCACACTGGGAAATGGAATACAACAGGTATCAGGAATTTTTCAGCTACCTTCAAGTGGGATTTTGCTGCATGATGGCAAACAAAACTAATAAGAACCTCTCCATCCAGCCATGTTAAAAACCCAGCTTGAAAAATCAAGTGTTCAAGAGCTAGAACACCAGAATTAAAGCTGCCATGTGCAGTCCTAATTCACCTCTCCTGTGTGACACAGTTCAAAGACATTTTTCTCCTAATTCACCTCTCCTGTGTGACACAATTCAAAGACATTTTTCTCCTAATTCACCTCTCCTGTGTGACACAATTCAAAGACATTTTTCTCCTAATTCACCTCTCCTGTGTGACACAATTCAAAGATATTTTTCCCCGTGGCCTCACCCCATTTAGGGGGCAGGATGAACAGAGCTATTCAGTATTTCTCTTTTTTTTTTCCACCTTTTGCAGTCGATGTGTGGCCTCGGTTTTATTTATAGCATGTCATTTAAACTCTTCACCGAAAACAGGATTATTCATTTCCTTGTGGGTTTTAATATAACACTTATCACAGAAATATTTGCTTCACAAACATAACAAATGCCTCCTGACAAAACCCCTGCCAGGGAGGTGGGATGGCAGCACAGCCCCCCCAGCCCAAATGCTTAATCAGAATCAGAGGTCCCACAAGGCTGTTTGGATTAGCATGAGATCATCTGAATTAACACAGGGTGTAATATATCCTTGGGCTTCAGCAAACCAGTGGTAACAAAACCCGGGTTTTTTGGAGGGAAGGCTCCAAAACTTGCCCTGCTCTGAGTCCTGGGTTGGAGGAACCATCTGTTCCCACTCAGGGTTGCCCACAGCATTTGCAAACCTGGTTTGCTGTGCTTTAAAGCACCTCCTTCTGTGGCCACTGGGCAAACCCCGAGCAAGGCCTGATCTGGAGCAAAGTAAGGCAGCAGAGGGAGACTGGAATGAAACTGTTCCTTGAGTTTGGAAGATTCCCACTGAAATTTGCATTTTAAAAGGAAAAAAAATGACCCCTAACTTTGTTTGCATGTCCTTACTTAGCAGTGTACATGTATGTGGTTATGGAATACACCTAATCCCAAAGGTTTTAGGTGTATTACCAAAAATTTATCATATCTAATTATACATATAAATATATAATTTATATTATATATTTTATATATAATATATATTATATATTTTATTTATAAAAATGTATAAATCAAATATATATAATAAAATATATAGTAAATATTGTATGTAATAAATACTATATTTTTATTATCTATTACATATTCATTATTAAATTTATATATTTATATATTATTATATAAACTATATATTATATGTTATATATTATTGTGTATTTATTATTTATATTATATATTATTATTGTGTATTTATATTATATATTTATATATTTTATAATAATGTATAATCTATAAGAATTTATCATATATAATATATAATAATAAATAGTGTATATAACATAAAAATAATATGTATAATAATTTTAATGTTTATATAAAAAATCATATCTGAAACATCTTTAAATTTGTAGGACCCAATGTTTTTTTCCAGCAGTTAATCAAGCATCAGCAAACTTTTAACAAACAGACCTTAGTTCAGGCACTATAGAATCACTCTTCTCACAAACAACACAATTTCCATCCACCCTTTTGGATTTTGATCTGGGCTACAAATTATTAACTCTGCTTTTGAGACCCCATCTCTGCAGAAAAAACGCTGCTGTAAGTTCTTCCACCAGCCTGGAATAGCTGAGGAATATAATTCCCAAGTTTATGTGAGCCTGGAGTCCCACCTGCACATCCTGTCGGGGAAATCAAGCCATAATTCCCTGTCCTTTTGCTTGTTTTACAACAGCCCCAGAGAAATTCTTATGTTAGAAGGGTCTTTGAAAACATTTACTCACTGTTCTGATCTCTGGACACCCTTCTGGTCCGTGTTGCTGATCTGAACCTCCCTTCAGTGAGACTGTTTTCAGAGGAGATCTGACAGCTGAAAGAAAAATGCACAGTGCTCCCAGTTTATATCCACAGGCCTGGAAATCTGGCATGTCTGGAGCATTATTATCATTATTATTACTATTATTATTACAAATATATTTTGGAATTTGTAGTTTTGGCATAACTGGAAGATTCATTGTAAAGAAGAGCTCTGCTTTTTAAAAATGTGTTCAGTCAACTCGGAGCATCTCACATTCAAGTATTTCAGCAGTGACTGGAACTAAGAGTCTTTTTTGATGGGATGTAGTAAAAACAAAGTTCACAGCCACGATTTTAAGTATCACTTAGAAGCAGTTTTAGAAATACTACCATTATTATTGTGTTCAGACTGTTTTTAACCCTTCCCAGTGACAAAGGCTCTCAGAACTCATCTAAGCCCTGCTGTAATTAGCCACACTTTCAACAGATTCAGCTGCAGATCAGCCCCCAGAGCAATAAAGAGGCTGAGATAAAGCACTGGGGCAGATATTTCACTTCAAGAACACATTAAATCTCCAGTGGCATCACTTGGTGTTTGACTGGAGCAGAATTTGAGCACTAGTAAGGCCTTGCCTCTGAGATTCATCCCTGAACAAGCAAAAGTAAAAGCCATTGCTTTTTTTCTCTGCTTGTTTTGCTTGTTTTAATAAAAAAGGTACAAGAAGGTCCAGGCCATGGCCCCAGACAACTGTCACTGTAAGGGCTGCACAAGAATTGGGACTATCCCAGTTCACCCTCACACTTTCCCTGGGAAATTTTAACTTTTCCCTAGGAAACAAGGAGCCTGGCAGTTCTGAGGCTGTGTGAGGAAAGTCCTGCTCCTCCAGCCCAAGGAGAGCTGTCCTGGGGCTGCACAGAACCTTCTGCACTCCTTTGCTGCTCTTCTCCCCCTGTCCTGGCCAGGCCACTGAACCAGCATTAGGAGTTTATCCCTAAATCCCAGGCTTCCAGCTCACTGGTGCCCTGGGCAGCCCTTGTCACTGGCATTTTCCAAACCCTCTCCCAGATGAGGGGCTGAGGAAGCCAGGCCAGGCCAGGCTGGCACTGCCAGGCTGCCAGAGCAGTGCACTGCTGCCTCTCCCTGCAGCTCAGCTCCGAGCTCTGCAAGGCTCCCAGCTTTCCTCTCCAGCCTAAACCCCTAACCCTGGACAGAAGCAAAACCATTCTCAGTGTCTTTAGTCATTAAGGTCCTTTATCTGCCACTCCCAGACAATTTGTGCCTGTTTGGTGCATGAGACAGGAGTGGTGTCCTGCCTTCCAGGGCAGCACCACAGATAAAATGCTCAAGGGTGTGTTTTAAACTGAATTGGAAGCACTGAATTGGAATGTTTCATAATCTAAGCTGACTGTCCATAGAAAGAACAATTGTATGATTTTAGTAATGACCTAATTCAATAATGAACTAATTCAACCCCTTCCAAAACAACTCAGGAACTCTTGCTCATTATCAGCTCGGGGACCTTCATTAATTACCACTATTCTTCCTTGCTGCCTGTATTTATGTTATGGGTGCAGGGTAAAGATGGACATGGAAAGGAAACAGAACTGTGCCTTTTTGTTCCTACTCACAAACAGCGACGGGAAAACCTCCAAGAGCATTCTGGATGTTTTGAAGTTGTGTCAGGACACTTCATTTTCTCTCATTCCCAAGCTTCAGAAGCTTCCTCTTTGTGATTGCAAACAGATGATGGCAGAGCCTGCAATTAGGCCAATCCAAGGGAATTCCAATCAGGGGTAGCCTGCAGCAGCTTGCAGGGCTCCCATCAAATGCAGGCCCACCCTTAGCATGGAGCTGTCAGCAGGAAAAGAGAAATTCAAATTGATTCTTAGAAGCAAACTCTTGTGACCTTCCTCACAGCACCCAGGGGTTTGTAACATCTGTCATTTATTATTGGGATTTTCAAGCAAAAACTGAGCCTGGGCATTCAAATTCCAAGATGCAACATAAAGTCTCAGGAGTTTTGACCATTTGGGAGTTCCCCAAAAGGGGGAAGTTTCTGCTCCTCTCTGCATACACCAAGAAACTTTATTAAGAATAAAAAATTTAGGAGCTTGTTTGGAAATGACCCCTTTAAAATGGGAGCTTTTAGGACAACTAGAATAGATCTCAGATTTACCCTGTCTTTGCCAAGCTTTATGATATTTCTTTGCAAAACAAGAGATGGCAGATTCTCAAACAGTTTAATTTTTCCAAAAATTCCCCCAGTAAAAGCAGTGATAACAGCTCCTCAATGAGCTCCATGGGCACAAAACAGGAGAGCACAAGAGTGCAGGAGCTGCTAAGGAAATATGGGGTAAGTTTTAGAGTTACCCATCTCCAGCTCATCTCAGGGATCTCAGGGATCGCGAGCTCAGGATTCAAACACAAGATCTTCCACACTCTGGAGGTTTTCTTCCCATGGAGACTGGCTTCAGAAGCTGCCCACAGAATTCCCAGGATACAAGACTGGTGTTCCCACAGTGGGAGGCCAGCAGAGGTGGGCACCAAGGCATCCTCATTTCACTTACTCCCAAAATTTCCTGTTTTTCTCTGAAAAGCAAGACCAGTCGAGCTTTAGTCAAAAAACTTTCCAAAACCAGCTAAGGAAACGCAAGGAAAGTCATTTTGTAACACAGAAAAATCCAAGCACAGTTATACAAGTGTTCTTGTTCCAAGAACAATTGTAAGTGGGTTTTGTTTTGATTTTGAAAACCCTCCAATATCTCAGTGTAGTTGCATTAGACCACACACTGGAAAAATTACGTGGTTTTCTGGTTGCTGTATAATAAGAAAGGATGTTTCTCTCTGAGACAGAAAAGGCCTATTCAAGGTTGGGAAGGGAGTGTAGTTTGGAAGAATGAAGAATCAGGAAGCTGGGGAGATAGGTCATAATTGTGTGAGGATGATTTGGTCTGGTTGTCTGAACAGCTGCCAGGGAATTAGGAAAGACAGCCTCTACTTTGGAAGGGCTGAAAGGAAAAAACCAATAAATACCAGTTTTAGGGTATCTTCTGTTAGGGGTGACCCAGGCCTGGTGTACATCTGGAGATAAGAGGTTCTGCAATACAAAAATAGAAAATTAAGTGGGAAAATAAATAGCAATTTGTTTCAGGTAGTGGGGTGTGTGCCAAAGCTTTTGTGATACGGTCACACAGTATTCCACAGCAGGAGAATCCATAAATACCTACATATTGATGGATGAAGAACCACTCCAGGCTGTGGACAAGTGAACAGCAGATAAAACATCCCCAGAGTCAGTGGTGACTCTCCCCTGACTTCACATCCACACAGTGAGCCTGTTGCATAACCCACTTCCCAGGTTATTTTACTGGGAAATTCTGGATGGAATCCACCAAGTACATTTTTTTTTTTTAAATTCTTTTTACCAGTGAAACACAATAAAAGATTTTACAGCCTTGGATGTGTTTCTGGCACGTTTTAAAAACTGCTGCTAATAAAACTTTTCCAAGAGGAAAAAATGATCGAGTTGTCACAATGTAAATATCTCATGGGGTTGTTTATGCAGAAAACTGGGAAACAACATCACAGGAGAAGATTGTGTCAAGAGAAAGCCTTAATCACCACAACTCTGGCATGGCACAGCACTGCAGTGATATCACAAGGGATATTCCAGAGTGCATTTTCAATGCTTGAAAATGGGCCCACCCAACGAGCAGGAAGGCAAACAAGTGTAGAGAGACCTGCTCCTGACAACATTCCCACTCTAATTTCCACGCATTTTTTCACTTCCGAGATCAGAGGCTCCACACGAACTAAAAAGTTGTTGCTTGTTTTATCAGGCAACGTTTTGACGTTAATACTTTATCACTGAATTGGCCACGAGAGGGCACCGGTTCTGCTCGAAAATAAAAGGCCAAAAAAAAAAAAGACAAACTCGATGAGCTAAATAAATAAATGGGGGGTTTGTTTACAAACTGTCCAGCTGCAAAAGCACAGGAGAGCGGGTTCCACGGCAGGAGCCTCCCACCCCCAGTGTGCAGCAGCTCTTGGGGAGCACGGCAGGGAGGAGAACGTCACCCACCCAGGGCTGGAGCTGCTCCTGCTGCCCCGGGAGACTCCCCTGGCTCCCAGACTCCCTTTCCTCAGGGGGGCTGTGGGAAAGGTTCCCACTCCTGGTTGTATCAGTGTTGTCCAGAGCCTCCCTCTGCCCTTTCCTGCAGTTCCCTTCCCTGCTGCTCTTGGGAGGCTCTTCCCCTTCTCCCTCAGCACAGGAAGGTTTTCCACACCTGACAGAAATGTCTGAAAACACTGTTTTCAGCCCAGCAATGGGTTACATCTCGTTTCATGGCCTTTTAAATGCACATTATTCACGAGAGGGGACTGAAAGGGAACTCACGGAACTAAAAGAATGAAGAGCTTGAGCTGAACCTCCAGACTGGAGAGCTGGTTTTTCCACAGACATCACCCTAAGGAATTCCTCTAGAAACAAGAGAAAAGAAAAAGGATATTATTTTCCAAGCCTGCATCCTGATTCAAAATGATCCATGTAAAGACAAAGCCCTTGGTCTGACAAAACCTGTCAGTGAAATCTCCCTGGGAAACACCATTTGGGACACAGACATTTGCACCAAGAGAAAAATCATGGAATCACAGAATCCTGGAATGGTTTGGGTTGGAAGGGACCTGAAAGATAATCCCATTCCACCCCCTGCCATGGGCAGGGCCACCTTCCACTGTCCCAGGTTGCTCCAAGCCCCGTCCAACCTGGCCTTGGACACTTCCAGGGATGGGACAGCCACAGCTTCTCTGGGCAACCTGTGCCAGGGCCTCCCCACCCTCACAGGGAAGAATTCCTTCCCAATATCTCACCTAAATTTCCCCTCTATCAGTTTGAACCCTTCACTCCTTGTCCCATCACTACAATTTCTGATGGCAAATATCTCCCAACACCGTGGATGTTTGGAGATGGAAATGTCTACCAACCCTGTTCAGCAGCCAGTGCAGTTGGGTGGGAATGTATAGATCCCTGCAAAGCTGATTTTGCTCACACAGGAAAATCCCTCCCTGCTAACAGATTCCTATGGTTAAGCTAAAGCTTGTCCTGCACATTTGACTGCGGATACAAAAGGATTGTTCTTTTTTGTTTTGCCTCCAAGTGAACAAAATGCTGTTTTCGACTAGATGTTTCTCCCGAGTTTTTGTGGCAGCTGGATCCATTCCATGCAATTCCTGTGGGAAAGTCAGTTTATTCTGAATGCCCTGGCAAGTTTGTGGCAGTCCAGAGGAATCGCCCAGTTAGGACACATCTGTTGTGAAGAACACCAGGTAAGGCAGGAAGGGGGGGAAATGAAAATAACTCCATTTATAATCAGGGCAGGAGGTTCTGGAGCTGCCAGAGAACATGAGGGTCAAAAGGGTTTTTCCAGGGCCAGCTTTACAGTCTGGACTTATCAAACCTTTTTGCACTGTTTGAATAGCTGTTTATTCTACTGATTTGTAAAGGTACCTGCCAGAAAAACAGAGCAATGAATAGTTCCAAAATAGATGTATTGATTTGAAAAGTAATGGATTGAATATTCCACAAGGGACTGTCCATAAGACTGTTTTCTTCAGTGCAGGGGGTTGTAAAATCATGATGTGATTCTTGTGCTTGAGCAGTTCATGAGGTACTGAAACGATTTCTGATACTGCTACTAACAAGAAGAATAATCAGGCCAAAGAGTGAAAAAATATCCTGATTTTGATTCATTATCCTGAGCTCCAATTGAGCTCCCAGCTCCCCAAATACGAATCAGAGAGTTACAAATGTCTAAACCCATAACAAACCCCTAAAATATTCACAGAATCATTAGGGTGTCGATCACAGATTCTGTGAGCTTCTGAGAGTTACCCAAATGATGAATTAGGTCACCACAACTGCCTAAAACCAGAATAAACTCCCTAAAATGTTATTAAAGCCCCACTCTGACTTTGGAAGAGAATTATCAGCACCCCTGTAAAACCACCCAGTCCTTCTGCCCCGGGGTAAAGCCTCAGCTACAGAAACCCCTGACAGACCCCCCAGAACACAATTTGTTTTCTCCTGCCTTCTTTCCATGTGACTGTTGGTCATTGCTGACAAATCACCAAGGGTAACACTACTTTTAAATGTACTGACTAGGCTGAAGAGCTGCACTGGACTGTCAACATCTAAATTAAAATCACATTTGCAGCCCTTTTATTCTAAATAAAAGTACTTCTAGAGTATTTAGAGCTGATGTTTTAAATGTTTGTAGTCTGCTCTTTTTTTTTTTTGTGTTGCAATCTAAATGTTCCCGTTCAAAATGCAGAGGTGGAGATATTTTTAATCCGAGACTAAAGCCTTTGGTGCTGAAGTAGTTCCATTTTCCCAAGCCAGCTGTGCAGTTCCTGTGTTAACCAGGAGACATGGAATGATCATTAATAAACACAGAGGAACCAGAGGCCTCTGAGGTTGTACATTTACTCCATGTTCTGCAAAAGGGCTCCTTTGCCTTTTGGGTTTTACCAAACTTAGGTTTTTATTTTGGTCAGGAACCAACCTGCAAGCAGCACAGGCACTCCAGTGCAAAACATGACTTTTTATAAGATACTTGTACTTTTTCTCAGTGAAACACATGAGAACTGTATCAATTGGGGGGAAAAACTGCTGCTCTACAAAGCCCTTCTGAAACTTTAACACAGTTAAACTATTGCTCCACCAAGAGCTTAATTTGATGTCACAGTTAAAATTGAAAATTGAGGCTGGGACTGGATAAAAGGGACATCACTAAGATAAAAGCTGCAATTAACTAAAGCTGCAATAATTGCAAGTGTTAATTTTCCTTTACAACTTGCCCAGGGTTTGCTGCCATCACATTCAGGGGTAAGAGGCTGCAGCACAACCACTTCTCTCCGGGCAGTTTGCAGGGGTTTAGTTACTGACCCCAGTGGGAGAGTTTGAAACTCAGAACAACACAGAGACTTTCAGAATAAAGTAATCATAGGCAGGTCTTGGTGGTTATAATCAGGTGTTTCATTCTTCCCTGGTTTTCCTCACCCTGCCAGAAGCTGCATCTTCCACTTCACCCAAGTGCTGCTTTTGGCCTTTGCTGACATGGAACCTCCTGAGCATTAAAAACCAGCTTTTCCCCTGGATCCCCTCAGCTGTGGAGCAGCAGCTCCTGACAGTGCTCTTCCCTTGCCAGGTGGACCCTGCAGAGGAGCCCTGGCTGCTGAGGATGGGCACCCTGAGGGGCTGGGCTGTGCTGCTGCCGCTGCTGGGGCTGGGCACGGCCGAGGACTTCCCGTGGACAAAGAACAACCCCGGCTCCTTCTACTACGGCACTTTCCCAGCTGGTACTTCGGATCCACCCTTGGCTGGGGGGTTCCAACCTTCCACATCCGCCTGGGGCTTTGCACAAGTGACCAAAAAGGTTCTCCTTGTGCTTCCAGGGAAAGGGCAGAGACAAAACCACAGGGCAGTAACATCCTTGGGAATACCAGGATCCACAGAACCCTGCACTCCGTAGTCACTTCAAACAGTAAATACACACTACATGCTAACAGATTATAATTTCGTATTCCTTTACTTATATTTCCCTTTTTCTGACTAAGATGCACAGTACAACAAAGCACACCTGAGAACTCCCCTCCTTTCTCAGAAATAATCTACAATTAATGGAATATTTTGGCTAAAAATACCCTTTGCTGTGCAGTTGACTTAAGAAATAGGTGAAATAACTGTGCTGGGCTTGTTTCAAGCTGTTTATATTATTCAATCCACTCTGTACTGATTTATGAACTTTATCCTTTCTTCAACATATATTTATATACACATTTCACTCAAGCAAAATCAGAACTAGAAGGACATCTGACTGCTTTTCATGCTCAAGTTTTTAAGTGGTTTATGAAATGGATTCCTTGTGGTATTTTGTGCAATAATAGGAAAGTAATGCAGAATATTTCTATTTATTCTACATAACAGCTAGACTTGTGGTTGCTAAAACCACCACAAAAACCAGCAGGGAGAAATGATGTGAAAACCTCTATTTTTTTTTTTACAGTAAGACCTTTCTGCCATGCTATCAAAGCACTACCTCATCACTATAAAAGAGATTTTATATATTTAATACATTTAAGAATGAGATTCCTTTCCAGTGCCTTAGAACACCTCCAGTTTATACCCCACATTCAGACAGTCCCTTTTTAGGCACTGATACATTTTCACATGGAAAACACTGGCCTTTTGTCAGGACTTTCACATTCAGTTCCTTTCTCCTGTTAAAATTTAGTACCAAGACCAGTTTAGGAGGAAAATGTTGGAGTAACTCCCTTGTTTTCCCTCCAGGTTTCCTCTGGGGTGTGGGAAGCTCTGCCTACCAGACTGAGGGGGCCTGGGACAAGGATGGGAAAGGACCAAGTATCTGGGATGCTTTTACCCACCGGAAAGGGAAAGTGTTCAGGAATGAAACGGGAGATTCAGCCTGTGATGGATACTACAGAGTCAAGGTACCATTCCCTTCACCTCTGCAAACACCCTGCAGCCATTCCATGCTCCTCATTTCCCACTAAAGCTGGAAATAACAGCTTTAGTTGCTCTATAGGCTCCTTAAACTTGGGATGATATTCTTAATTACTTCTTAATCACTTCTTCTTTCCCAACAATCTCACTGAATCAATCACACCACTGCACTTCCCAAATGTCTCCATTTGGCAGGATTTTGGTGTCATTCTAAATTGTGTAGAACTTCCAGATCCTTAGTTAGAACAATGAACACATTTGAGCTCTGAATAAAACTGACACTTTTTTCTGTGTGCTTGAGGTTTTCTATGTGTTTTTAAGAGGCTTTAAAATTCACTCTGAAGGTTTCCCCTTTTTTGAATGGGTAACAAATAAATAATCAGTGCAGCTCTATTCACAATATGTTTCCAAGCTCAAAACTATCAAAAACAATTTTCCAGTGACTGTCCTGGAGGAAAGACACATCCACTGCAAGAGGAATCTGAATGCCTGGGATAAGCCAGTATCACATAATTGGGATTCCAACTAATTTTAAGTTCTATTCCACTGAGGTTTCTCCCCATGGGAGAATCAGAGGTTTCAGCAAGAACTAAGAGAAAAGAAACTTTTTGTGCTTTACTCTGCTAAAATGGGGAAATGCAGGAGAGGTTTCATTTGGTCTCTCAAACCAGCAGCAGTTTGAAAGAACAGATTAATAAAAATCCTCACAGAGGCTGGGGCTGAGCCTCACTGGGCTGTGGCATCCGAAGAGATGGACGTGATGAGCACAGGACATTTTTCAGAGAGGATTTGGGCAGAAACAAAGTCATTTCAACATTTACTCACCTCTCTGGGCTGGGATTTTGAGACACTTTCTAAAACTTACTCGTATGTGCCCAGTTACAGGGTCTTCTTTATATGAAAGCATTCTTTATTTGCTTTAATCATCAGAATTTGCATTGGCTCAAACACTATCAATTGCTAATTTCTTTTAACATTGAAGATGGATGATTTCTTACAATAAGAACATGTATTCATATGGAATTTAGGTTTTTTCCTAACTCCAGTGTAGGGCAATAAATGAAAGCCTGTGCAACCATGTTTTCAGCCTAAGCTGAAATGTTTGAGGTCAAGATTTACAGGCTTCTATTATTTTCTGACAAATTCTGACATAAATGTAATTGTGGTGCAAAATACCTCAACTCACATTTCAGTCCTGAGGGTCAAAACCTTCTGTTTCCATAGTTACACAAAACATTACAGGACTCCTTTGGAGTGTCAAAAAAAAAAAAAAAAAAAGAAAGGATACCAGTAGAACCAACCATCTCAAAATCAAAAATAACAGATGGAATCCCCTTTTGGGGAACTCCTCTGTAGATTTTCTGCATTCAGGATCAGTCAGGACAGATGAGTACCTGAAGTTGTTCTGCTCAGCCTTGGGATGTGTGGGATTTTCTTTCCCCAGGATGACATCCAGTTACTGAAGGAGCTCAAAGTGAATCACTACCTCTTGTCCATCTCGTGGCCTCGGATTATGCCCACTGGAATCAAAGGTAAGCACAACAATTTCCCCACATTCTCACCAGTATTTTTATCAGGAATTTTCCTCCTGAATAACCCACAGTTGTTTAAAATTACTGTTAAACAGGTTTCAGTTTCTTTGCAGGACAGAGTTTACCCATTACAGTGTTCCCATTGCTGAAATGGACAATTCCTTAGTCAAAATTTTTAGATTTCTATTCCTTCAGTTCTTTGAGAACCAACCCAGGGAATTCCTTCTCTGTGCTTTCCATCAGCTGAGCAGCTGAATGAGAAGGGAATCCAGTTCTACAATGACACAATTAACAGCCTCCTGGAAAACAATATTACCCCTATTGTGAGCCTCTACCACTGGGATCTTCCCCAGGTAAGGCAATATTTAGATTAGTGAAACATCAAAGATAAAGTATCAAATATAAAGTATTTCTAAGTTTAAGGACTAAAATTACTTTAGAAAATTAATGATATCTGCATGACTTTAAGTACTTAAGTTTTGAAAAATCTCCTTCTGAGCTACTGACATAAAGTCTTTGTTAACAAGCAGCTGAACTTTAAGTACAATTATTAATTCTTGAAATTCATATTCCCAAAGGTTCTCCAAGAAAAATATGGAGGCTGGCAGAATATAAGCATGATAAATTACTTTAATGATTATGCAAATCTGTGTTTTGAGAAGTTTGGTGATCGTGTGAAACACTGGATTACTTTCAGCAACCCTTGGGTAAGTTATCAGTGCTGTCCTTCCAAACCCTTCTGTTCCCAGAATTCCATGGAAGTGACACTAGAGGAAAGTAGGTTGGAAACTGGAGGGGGAGAAGGAAAGGGAGAGACTTAGAACATTAATCTTCACAGCCAAAAATCTCAGTGGGCAGAGCTTGCACAAAGGTAGAGTTTTAAGATAAAATTCCAGTGAAGTTTTAAAAAATCATCAGCTGGAGAGGAAAGAGGGACAGGAATCAGAGAGGCCCTTCCTGAATTTCATCAGGTCACTCCATGAACACCAGTCACCAGCACCTTGTTCCCAACAAGTCACAGCACGTTATCAACCAGGCAGGGTGGGAGCAGATGGGAGCCAAGGGGAGGAAAAATGGGACTGGAGAGGGACAGCCCAGGCAGGGGAGCACAGAATCCCAATCCATAGGATGGCAGCACATTCCCTGGAGAAGAACTAACTCTGTGTCTTTGCAGGCAGTTGCTGAGAATGGTTATGAGACAGGAGAACACGCCCCAGGACTGAAGCTCGGGGGGTGTGGAGCATACAAGGCTGCTCACCACATCATCAAAGTAACACTGAAATCATGCTTTAAATTAGATGTTAATTAAGAATTTTTTTCTATTTTTAAACAGAAATATAGTTTCATAGCAATGGAATTTCCAAGTAGGACATGGAAATTATCACCTGCCTTTAAACCACCAGTGAATATTCCAGTGTAGCCTTGTAGGTGCTTGATGTGACACTGTTGCATCAACTTCAATTTTCCTTATAATTTAAGTGCCTCATAGTAAGTTTCAATCTGGTTGAAAAGCAAATATCCAGGTTACTCCAGAAACAAGCAATAATATCCTGACCTGTTGAAATGAACTGGAATTTTGCAAAGTGACTTCAGGAAGGGAAGGAAGGCTACTGCTTGTTAAAATTAGTGTTCATCTGCCTGAATAAATTAGGCAAAGACATCCAAAGACTGGAGACACGGACAGAACACTCCAGTGACTGTATCTATACAGTAGATATATAGTTACTATGGATGCACAGTAATGTGTGTTACCTCCCTGGGGATCTCCTGGAGTCCAGGAAGGAATCTTGCATAAATGCTTTTTGACCTCTTACACGAAATGAAAGCTTCTGTGACACACCTAAAAGAAATTCTGTGATATTTTCAGACAGATCTTAGTGCAAAAACTGCTCTTCACCAGCTTTGCAATACTGCCCATGGCATAACAGGTTCAAACATGCAGGTGATTGATTGTGTTTTCATTTCCAGACTCACGCCAAGGTTTGGCACTCCTACAACAACACGTGGCGCAGGGAGCAGCAAGGTAAGCAGGAATCATCCTGGGATTGTCCCTGATTTATGTGAAGGGCTTAGAGATGATGCACAAACTGCAGAATTGTCCCTCTGTGTTTTAAGGGATGGTGGGAATCTCCCTGACCAGTGGCTGGGGGGAGCCTGTTGACCCCCACAGCCAGGCAGACAGGGACGCCGCCGAGAGGTACATCCAGTTCCACCTGGGCTGGTTTGCAAACCCCATTTACAGAGGGGACTACCCAGAGGTCATGAAGAATTATGTGGGTAAGTCCCAGTAACCAACTAAAGATGAATAAATCCCACACTCTGAGCACATTACAAGGGAATAGCTCCTGGCCAGTATGTACTTTAGTCAGGGATGAGGGCACAGGTGAGACATCGATGGCCCCCAGGGTGGACACGGCTCCTGAGCAGTTTGGGGACACACCAGAACACTTTAAATCACTGGTTTTCCATGTATTGCACCCAACTCACTTCTCCAAACTAAAAGGATGAAAGATTCTTTCAGGTTAAAGAAGCAATCAAACCCAAGTGGCCTCTACACTTACATCAAGCTCAGGAAAACCATAAGAATTCCTTCCCTGGGAGGGTGGGGAGGCCCTGGCACAGGTTGCCCAGAGAAGCTGTGGCTGCCCCATCCCTGGAAGTGTCCAAGGCCAGGTTGGACAGGGCTTGGAGCAACCTGGGCTAGTGGAAGGTGTCCCTGCCCATGGTAGGGGGTGGAATGGGATTATCTTTCAGGTCCCTTCCAACCCAAACCATTCCAGGATTTCACAGTTCTCTGATTTACTGTTGGTGAGGGAAAGCAAACAAATTTCCTGCTCCTCACAAGTGTCTCCTGTCATTATTTTGATAGGCAGGAAGAGCGCCCAGCAGGGCCTGGGGACATCCAGATTACCAACCTTCTCAGTGCAGGAGAAAACCTACATTAAAGGCACCTCAGATTTCCTGGGAATAGGTCATTTCACCACTCGTTATGTCCTGCAGAAGAACTTTCCCTTTCTCCAAGTGTCTGGTTACCACACTGACAGGGACTTGGCTGAGCTGGTGGACCCCAACTGGCCAGCTCCGGGTCCTAAGTGGCTTTATTCTGTGCCCTGGGGGTTCAGAAGATTGCTCAACTTCATCAAGGTGAGTAGAGGAGATCTTTAATTAAAAAGAGCCAACAAAATGCCTGGTTACACACAGGAGCTGCATTTACACTCTTAGATTTTCAACAGTTCCCCCCTATATATTTACCTTGTCACACTGGGAGGTTTCCTTTTAAAATAAAACCCAAAGTTAAATTAAATTCCTAGTTACCTTTTTCTTACTAAGTAAACCTAGAAAATTGCTTTTAGGGCATTTTTTTCTAGCTTTGTGTTGTCAAAATAAAGTTATTTTATGTAAACACCCTTGTTTGCAGACCCAGTATGGGAACCCCCTCATTTATGTGACAGAGAACGGGGTGTCTGAGGCAGCCCAGTGCACTGAGCTGTGTGACGAGGGCAGGATCCAGTACCTGAAGGGATACATCAATGAGATACTCAAAGGTAACTTAAAACAGCTTTTAGGGGTTGGACTTTTGGAGTGTTTTCACCTTCTGGTTATCTCTACTTGTCTTTTACATCGTAAAGAAATAAATATTTAAGGGTGAAAGGAGATGATAAATTGTCAGCAAAATGACAATGGAAGCAAATCTACTGATGCTAATAAACATAATAACCTCCATGAGATTTAATATTGCAACAGATCAGCAGTTTTTCCATGTTCAAAAAGGAGAAATTGCACTTAATTACCACGTTCACAAAGCTCTGGGACCTCTAAGCTAAAGACAGCATTTTTAAAGACTCCAAATGACTTCCTACTTTGCTTTTTTCCTGTCCTCCTCCCCATCTCTTCCTGGTATAAACCCAAACACCTCCAGACTTAAATACAGAGTATTTGAAGTGCCCCAAACACATTTCCCAGAATCTTTTGGTTTGTGTCTGCAGCTCTCAATGATGGAGTCAATGTCAAAGGTTACACTGCCTGGTCCCTGCTGGATAAATTCGAATGGAACAAAGGATTCTCTGAAAAATTTGGGCTTTACCACATTGACTTCAAAAACAAGAACAAACCACGGTACCCAAAGGCATCTGCTGACTATTATAAAAAGATTATCAGTGCCAATGGATTCCCAAATCCAAGAGAGGTGATGTGAACTGCTGCTTTTATTCTTTTTTTCTCCAATACACGGGCAAATATCTCATAGGATTTCAGGAAACTTGTCTGAATATGGTACATGAAGTGATACTTTGGTTGTGTAAATTAGGGATGTGCTTCACAGACACTGAAAGTGGGAACAGCCTCGATTACTGTTTCCAAAAACTCTAATTGGAATTACTGAATCAGAAGTTAGCAGTGCCCTGTCAGATTTCTAGGCAGAAAATTACATATATTCCATATCATTTTGCAGCAAGGTAGTACATGTCATGATGTGATTTTAAAAATCTTATTAAACAATTAACTTGGAGAAATATATTGCAACAAAACCCACACAGACACGAAGGAACTTGGAGAAAATCATTGAGATTTTGAGAGAATAAAGTAGTTTCGAGTCTCTTATAGTGGACAAGTGCTGAGGGACAGAGAAGGGGCAGAATCTTGCACTGTAACACAACTGCTGTCGACATTCCCAGGTGGAAAACTGGTATAGGAAGGCCATGGACTCCTGCTCTTCCACACACCACCTCCTCGCTGCAGGTAAGGATGGGTCTGCTTTTGTTTTATAAAAGCACTTTATGGAACTGCCAGATTTTAAACTTCTCTGTGAACAGCCCTACTAACAAGGTCCTAAAAGGGATTTTCTCCCTGAAAGCACAAAAAGCCTCTAAAGAAAAATGTGTTTATTTACTCTCTCCAACTAAAACCACTGTAGGGGAATGGATTAACTTGGGATCTTGGTGGAACACACAAACTGGAAGAGATCCCGCTTAAAACTGAGGTTAGGGATGACAGTGTTCTCCTGAAAATAAAAGTGCTAAATGCTTTTGCAAACACAAACCAACCCAGAGAGAAAATCTCTAAGTGTTTGATTTCTACACAAAGTGGAACCATAAAAGAAAAGGGCCAAGGCCTGGCCTAAGGTTAAGCCAAGTTTTACTCTGGTAACAAAGCCAACAGCAGCTCAGAGCAGCTGCTCAAGAACAGGGAACACAGGAGGCTCTGCAGCTTCCAGGGCCAGGCTCATCCAGCATTCCTGGGGTAATCCAGGCCCCTCCACAACTCCTCAGTTAGAACAATCAACCCCAGTGGGCTTCTGCAGCTTTTAAGAAAGATAAATTAGTATTATGGAGTCTTACAAGGAGGATGAGCTAAATTCCACATGGGAGGAAAGGTCAGTCATCCCAAGTTTATCCTGCTCAGCCTCAACTCCCGAGTTCCATGTTCTGTGGGAATTAACTGGGTTTCCTGAGCTCTTCCAGGCTTTCCTGGGGGATAAAATTCTACCCTTTTAATAAAACTCTTTTAATTTTTCAAACAGCTACAGGACAATCATAAAAAGGGCCCAAGTGCCTCCCAAGGATTTCTCTTGGACAATTTTCTACCCTTTCTCCTTCAGGTGGAGGGAATAAAAATCAAAGGCACGATAAAATACTGTTAATACACTGAAACTAATTCCTAGCAAACATCATTTTTACAGCCCTTTGAGCTCTGAATGTCTTCCAAAAATTACCTCAGAAAGAAAAAAAGGGGGAAAACTGTCATGGATTTGCTCCAGCTTTTGCAGACTGCTGAAATTTTGTTTGTTTTCTTTGCTGTTTATGCCAATGTCAACAATTTTATGCTCAAAAAAATCCTTAATTCATGCAAACTCTCCTTTAGTGCACTCCAAAGGAATAAATTTCTTACATATTCCTCATTTCTCAAATTTTAGATTCCCTGATTACTCACATGGAAATGGTGACAGAGATTGTTCTTCCTACAGTTTTCACACTCTGCATCCTCATCTGTATTGTCCTACTCATATTCTACCTTCGAAATCACACCTAAAATTCCACATTCACACACTTTCACTGGGCAAAAGGAATAAGATGCAGCTGTTTTGAGTGGTTAAAGTCCACCACAGATGCCTCTTTTTAAACCCCTGTAAAGAAACTTTACTTATCCACCTAAGCTTTTAGAGCTTTTTCTGCTCAACTCCCAAAATATCACTTTTTTTAAAAACCAAAACCCAAAGTACTTTCTTTTTCTACATCAATTTCTACTGATTTGATGTAGGAGATTTGACATTTGGTATTATTTGGGAAACTATTACAGATTTGTTCACCAGAAATACAGTTCAGATTAAAGTGATTCCAACCTTGACAGTACAAATTTCAAGGGATTAAAAGCTGCTTGCAAATTCTGATTTCAGTCTGTTCATCACTAGGCTTTTAATTACCATGTAATTGCTACTGGAAGAGAGACAGGCACCTAATTTTCAAATACAAAATTAAAGTTTTTCTTCAATTTATTAAACTGATATTTATTAAGATGTAATAATATGAAAGGGGTAAAAAATAAGATTTACTGAGGGGAAACCAGAAATGATTGAAATTTAGTTTTTAAAGGCATGAATACTGGAGTTTTGCTTATTCTTACTTATCCATAGTTAAGTTTCTTTCTGCAGAATGTTTCTGTTTCAAATTATTTAGTCAGCATAAACTGTGGAATTTTTAAAATCAGACTATACACAATCTAACCAACCTAACACCTGCAACTGCCAACCCAACAGATTTAAGTGATTAAGCCCAGCCAATCATACTGATTTTCTTCTCAAAAACTATGCAAAACATACAAGACAACACTGCTAAAATAACTCACTTCACATTGAAGGAAAGAAAAAATCATTTGAAGAGGAGAGGGAAGTATATCCAAGAACACCCCCAAATATAAACACTTCAAAATATAAATACAGGGACAAAGAAAACCAGATTGTCAGAAGATCCCAGGCCCCTGGATGAACAGCTTTCCAAACCTGTGAGGATGATGAAGCATCACTTGATGTGAGGAAAACATGACATTATTGCTTGGTTTGTTGGTTAAGATAATGGACCCTTTGAACAGTGTCTGATTGCACTTTTAATGAACAGAAATAAAAGATGAAACCCCAAAGTGCAAAACTTTATTGAATGCTTGTAAATATAAGAACAAAAAAAACCCCTATATTTTCAAAATATTTATACTGTACAGGCTTAAATGCACAATATTTACAAACAAAATAAGTGCCTACAGATGAATTGTGGCTGTGTAGGTCCCACTTAAGCACATTAAAGCCAAAAACTCAGTGAGAGGAGCTGTTCTTTAGATCAGTGTTCCTAAATAATCTGTTGGGACACAGAAGACACTGACCTTTGCCTTTACTGTACCTGTCCTGCAGACTAACCTGGATTTATGTGAAATGCACCTGACTGCACTTGGTCACTGTGATAAAATACAGCCTGTCTTCAGGGCTCCCATTTACTGTGGAGTCAGAGAAGAGACCTGGGAGGACAAAGGGGAAGGTTGGGGTTAGTCACAACTCTTGGAAGTGGCAGGATCAGCTCATGGAGCAGCTTCCAAACTGCTTCCCAAACTTCAGTCTCACCGAAGGACTTCGTGCCAAAAATCAGCAACGACAGGAGAGTTTTACCAAATCAGCACATTCTGTCAAACCTCACCCCAAAAAAGCAAATTATTTCTTTTCACTTGTTCTACATTTGATTGCAGTAAGGAATGGCTGCTTAGCACCTGCTCTCCTCCCTGACTCCAGACCATTCCTAACAGGAAAATTTCTCTTCAAAACCATTCTGAGGCATTGGCAAAGATTTTAGAAATAAGTTGCAAGATTTTCTGGATAACACTTAATCATACTTGGAACTGTGTTGTCATTTCAACTCTAAAAACATAACTCAGAAAGTCACCACTTTCTAAAAATATTCAATTCTGTAAATACCACCCCATTCTTTTATTAAAAGGCAGAACATCATTTTGTTTTGATGAAAAGTAAATGTAAGTACAAAAAACTTCAGACCCACTGAGCTCAGTATAAAAACTGAATTTGTTTGAAGGGTGTCCCCTCATTACTTTGTTTCATCCCAACCATTCCTCACCTGAATTGTTTGATGCCACATGTTCCACAGGAGGATTAGTACTGACTTGCCACATTGTTTTCACCTCCTTTGCTCCGTGCCCACTGCTTATCTCCACCTTCCATAACTCAGGGTGTTCACTGAGAGAATAAAAAAAGCCATCAAAATTCAGTCCCACCTGAATTTGAATGCTGCAAACACTGAGGTTTCTCTTACTTTTGGTAGAATTTCTTCACAAGAGCTGGTCTGATGGGCAGCTGAAACACGTGTTTCTCGTTGAGGGGGTTTTCCTTGTAATACTTCATGCAAATCCTACAGTATATATCAACCAGTTAATTTCTTTGGAGAAATGCTTGTGCAAAATTAGCTATACTCCCAACATTTCATTATATCCTTTAGTTTTCAATTTTAGTCCCAAAGCAACATTTAGCAGCAAGATCCAGCTGCTCCTCCTGCAGTCTCACAACCACCATTAAGGAGAGCTGGTTTTTTTAAGTATTTCTTTAAAACTGTCAAAGAAATCCTATTTTATTGTCATTTAAAGAGCAAGAAGTAAAAATGCAAGAGTTACTGTGTCAAAGGGAAGAGGTTCTCATGTCTGAACTGGAGTAAGACTCTGCAGTTGACCATTATTTCCAGCATATGGTGGAGCTTTTGAACACGATGAACTTGTTCCTGTAGATCCACTGATGTGGAAGTGAAGTAATCCTGGAAGAGCAAGGAACTTTGCTCTTACCTGAGCACTGAATTTCTACAGACAAACAGCACATCCTCAGTAAACTAAAACAATCTTCCTGCTTCTTTTGAAAAGCCAAAATTTTAAGAGAGGCCCAGCAGACTCAGAACAAAGTTCCATCAAAGTGTGAATGAAGGTTCACTGCCCTGACAGCGACTTCTCTCAGATACCAAACCAATTATATATAATTTATCACATAGAGACATAATATAATATATATTAAGTATTATATTAAACAAAACAATTACATTCCTGCAGTTTGTTGTTCCAACCTCATGATCTGCAATTCAGTTTCTCAACTGATAAATACTGAGTTTGTTTTACTTTATACTTTAAACTTTTTAGAGTTTCAAAATAAAAATAAAGCATCTCACCAAGTAGGTTAATGTTGCAAGTTCCTGACCTGTAAAATGAACAGGAGAAATTAAAAATAATTAAAATTTAACACATGGCATCAGATGAAATGTAAGCAAGATTCAGGTAATCAGACAGGGAACTCTACTGAAGAAAAGTGCAAAGTCACCAGGAATGGAATGTTATTTATGGACAGGATTGCTCTTCAAAACAAGAAAAAAAACCCTGCCAGGTGGCCAAGAGGCACGATTTTATTTACCAAAAAGGCTGCACAGTGAAGAAAGCCACCCTACACTTTCACACAACCACCCTCCTTAGGACACACAGCTTTACAAGCAGTGAAAACAGAAAAGCAAGTTAAACAAAGAATGAAAACAGGATGACAGAGCAAAGCAGGAATGAAGAAATGAAGGGGGTAACACCAAGGGTAAAATACAAAGCTCCAGTTTTTTAAATTTTGAAACCCTGTACAACTGAAAAGTTCAATTATTAAGGAGGCTGGAAACTGCACTTCAGCAGATGGGAAGAGAGATGGAGGTTACCAAAAAGTTCATTATTCCTGCATGGAATAGCTTTTCTCTTGAATTCCTGATCAGGTAACAGGTCTCAGGCTCACCTATGAAAAAACTGACATAATCCTTCTTCAACTTATCCAAGCCAATCTCAAAGAGCATCTGGATGGGAGTGATGCCACTGAGGGAAACCACCTCCATCTTCCCATGGTAGGACTGCTGGATTAACTTCCGGAGGAAGCTGCTGCTCCCCTGATGAATCTGGACATGGAAGAAGTTTCCTTGTGAGGTGAAACATCAGAAACATTGGAGGTACAACAATAGAAACAGAAACGAACTGTGACACAGGGAAGTAATTTAAAAACAATCTAACACAACTGAGGGCAGTGAAGTGACAGGAAGTATGTGTTACTTGATGCTCCTCAAAATGTCAAGGTTTATTGTGAAACACAAAGACATACCCAGGGCTGGATCTCACCACGCTCCAGGGATTTTATGACCCGTGTGAAACAGTCTATCAACTCCTGGTAGGAAATGACACCTGGCAAAAAAAAAGACACAATCATTTAATTATCAGCCCAGGACTGTTAAGTCAGTAACAATAACCCAACACACAAGAATAAAATCCTTTAATTAAAGAATGAGAGCTGAAATGACAGACTGCACTGCTTCGTGGTAACTCTGTCACGTGATGGCTTTAAAAAAGGTTACTACAAATTAAAAATGATCAGACAGCACTGAACTGTGTATGATTGAGAGCATGGCAGCAGCAGGTTGTCATACACGGATTTTGGCATCATTCTCTCTATTTACATTGAAAATTGTCCTTCAGATCTAAAATGAAAACTGTAGAAATTATTTTTCTGTTTCAGAGCAGATGGGCACTATCAATTGTTTACAGTCAAACAAAATAAAATCCAGGAGCTGCTGCTGGATGTTGGTCTGCCTTTGGATGTTGTAAGAAAGGACATCACCTCACACCCCCAAAATGAGCTGTTCTGGAGACTGTTCACACCAATTCTCTGAAGAGCTGATCAGTCCTTGAAACTCAGAAATGTCCCTCCTCTTCCCTGACAGAGCAATGTGGTCCAGCAGACACAGAGAACGGAGGAATGAAAGGAAAACCTCACAATACACTCACTTCTCATTTTGCACCATAATTGTTCAGCAAAATCCAGGTCTCCTCTCTCACTGAAGATGGATTTGATGTAACTGTCCACTGCAGCCGTGTCACATTGGATTTTCTGAAAGAGTTTGTTGGTATTCAATAAAAAAATGGGATTGAGATTCAAAAACCTTACATATCTTAATTTCTCCAGGGATCAAAACTGGGTGCATCGCTAACTTTCCCCCTTTTCCAGGGAAACTATCACTGCATAGTAATTTGGAAGCATATTTTTATTTAAAAGTGAGTCTGATTCTTTCCAGAATGATCACACTGGACAACTGCTGGCCTTGGATCAGGAAGCAAAGCCTCCTGTCAGAGAGATTTTACACCCCAGCCAAGTGTTGTCTGTACACCCAGCAGTGCCCTGAGAGGCCAAAATCCATCCAAAATCTCAGAACACAGAACTAACGGCCTGTTTTCCTGATAAGAAATATTACTGGTTTGGTTGATCCAGAAATCAAAATATTTTTAGCTTATCAACAAAATGGTACTTCTCTCTTGAAAGAAAATAGACCTAAACCTTTCCTTGCAGATTGAAAGGTAAAAAATCTTAATATAACCAAACACATTTTTATGTGTTAAATTGCCCATTGCTTTAAAATAACATAAACTTCTAATAAATAGGACAGATATCCAGCTGATACCATTATATTGACCCAAAATCATTCAATTAGGCAAGAAAAGCAAATTAATGATAGAATTGCCTGTTAGACCTTCTCCCATTATTTTTACATAGGAAATTGCATAAACCTCTGTTTCATCCTTGCTCCCAGACCCACAGTCTCCATCCAGCTTCTTCTTTAAATCTGGTAGAGGAAAAGAAACAAATTTTACCACCATGACAAAGAAATATCATCAAACCACTCTCATTAATCCTCCCCAGGCACGTCATAAAAACACACAACTAACAGACAAAGAAGTGTTCATTTTAGAAATGGTTTTACTGGGTAAGGATATAGCCTGAAAAGATATATTTTTTGTAAATATGTTTTTATTGTAATTACTTTTACACATGATATTAGGACAAAGTAAAATGACAGATCTTTACTAAGCTATTTAACTACTCTGTGCAGGAGGTTACAGCCCAAAAATTAACAGCTCTGGTTCTAATGCTTTAGAAATTGTATGTGGCATTTGCTTTTATTTCTGTGCCATGTGAAATCCCTCTCCCCATGGAAAAAGCAGCCATTACCAGTCAGGAATTCCTGGACCAGTTCAACAGCTGACTCAGACTCCAGAGGCTCAGGCCACTCAGTCACACCCGTCTTCAAACCTTCAGCCAAAGCCTAAAAGCAGCGTGAGAATCAACACAACAAATCAGGTCTTGCTGGAGGTTCTGCACGAGGCACACTTCAAAATGCAGGTAACTTTGTGAGAATCATAAATCTCTGCACAGATAACCAGGAATTTAGAAACTTCCAGAATTTCTGGATGAGTTGTCCTCTTTGTATTCCAAAACTAAAACTGAACTCGAAGTTTAATCTTTAAAATAAAAGCTTAGAGTTATCTTCGAAACAGGTGAGGAAGTTTTAAATAAAGTAAGTTATTAACACATAAAATCATCAGTCCATGTGAATCTGAAACTGGAATTTCTTCCTTGGACTTACCAGGAGAAGCTGCAGCTCCCGATACACCTGGTACACAGGACTCCTGGGATCCCCTGACTCCAGGGCAATGTTCTGCAAGTTCCACAAGTTAAAGTCAGTTCCAAACTTCAGAAATCAATCCTAAAACTGTCCTTAGTGAAAGGCACGTCAGCATAATTCACAGTCTACATTATGAACAGGTTTTGTTGTTTTATTTTCTATCCTTTACACTGCTCATGATGTAATCTGTGCAAAGAGATTTGTTTGCTTTTCCCAGCTGGACTTACCAGAGTGGCAGCTGAAATCAGTGGGGGAGTCTCCAGAATCTTATCAACAACATTCCATGTAATATCAACATAGATATTGCCTCCAGATTCTACAGTGGTGTCCTCCATTGCAGCAACTTGGATCAGTTCATACTGAGCAAATCCTTTTGTTGTCACCTGAGAATGAACAGAGTTAAAAATAAAAACAACAAAACCGCCACAGCATTGATGGGTTTGTGTGCAGGCAAAATAATTGCAAAAGCATTTCACAAAAACACAAAAAAGGGTTAACATCAGACAAATGCATTACAAATGGTACCTCAGGACAGACTGCTGTACTACAGAATCATACTAAGGTGAGTTTTCTACATAGAATCTATAAAGTTTCTCCAAACCAGCATCACAGATCCCAAAATAAGAGTTTTTAAACTGAAACTGAAGCCATGACAGAGTGTAAAAACCTACCACAGATGAATGATGTCTTCTTTTATGTTCCATTTTGAGCTCTTCCAGGTTTGCAAAACAGGTTTTATCAGCTGTAGGACCTAGGAAAGGAAAAACGTGAGAATCAAAAAACCCCATTTGACACGACTCAATATGACACTTAAAATTCATTCTCAAACGCTCCATTTGGTCAAGAATGACTCCTGATATCCTTTAGAAAACAGGGATTCTCCTTGCATTTGTCCTGTTAGTAAGAACTGGGGTGAATACAGACATGTTTAGTGTGAGTCAGTGGTTGTGTAAGAAGCTGAATAGCAGCAGTTTAAATGTGCTGTTATTGCACAGACACAGCTGCGTTAATTCTATTAAAAAGCTATTTTCCCCACACAGCACTGGTTAAAAACATCTCTCTTTTTTTAACCTCCTTTTGTTTTTTAAAGCCAAGAATGTAGAGCATTCCCAAGCCAACATCACAAAAAGAGCAAACACAGCGTTGTCACATCAGAATTGCCACATTTTTGAGCCTTCCTCATTTAATTTGATGTGCAACAGAAAACCTTACCATCACATGACACCATGTAAATCGTGATCCCTGTGATTTTCTTTCCAGCTCTGAGAGGCTCAGCTCCAATCCAACAGGTGTGTTCAGGATCAGAACCATCACACCTGATCCAGAGAGGAGGAAGCACCAGGTCCCTTATTCCCAGGTGGGTCACGTTTGGATTTTGCACCATTGCATATAAGGAAACCAACTGCCTAGAAATGGGAACAGGGGGAAAATTAGATGCCAGCAAATATCCTAAATTTGTCCCTTATTAAAACTTGACTCCTCTCTACCATGCTTTGTTAGCAGACTCAAATCATTTTACAAGAAGAATGCAGGATTGTAACCCTCTTTTTAGAGGTAGCACAATACAGTCACAAAGGAAGAAGTCTAGGATATCATACTTCAAAATATAATCAATATATTAATTTTGACTGAAGAATCTAAAATCATATTGAATTTTACATCTCAAGCTCATTAAAATATATCAGTTAGGTAAACCCCATTTTGGTACCATGACTTGGTATTTTAACAACAGTAAAGACCCCAATTTTTAAGCTTTTTTTAACAGAAGCTTTAGCAAAAAAACAAGCATTGAAGTCTTAGTAAGCTTTTTTTGGTGTCCTGCACCCAGTGAATCCCACGAACCCAATGGCACAGCTCACAAGTGCTTTTCCAGTAACTTGATTTGAGCTGCTTTGTTAAAAACTTTTAACCAGGGGAGACAGTTTTTCAGGATGGAAAACGGTAAAATCTCCTCACAAACTAATGAGCAATTTTATTTGGGGGATTGAAAACAACAGAGGTTCTGAATACTAGGAAGAGGGACAAAAGCTGCAAAGGAAAACTACATCAGTAGGGCAGGGAAACCTTTGAGACTTACTTTGCTCTTCCCACAGAAAGAGCTGCTGGTCCAGGACTCTCCTTTGGCAAAAGCTCAGAGGGAAAAAGAGCTTCATCTGGTTTTGATTCTTCCATGGAGTCACCTTCTTCACGGTGTGTCTTTAAGAGAAAAGTGTAGGTAGATCAAAAACTGCAAAGTGTGTGAAAATATTTGATGGGAATTCAAAAGCCTGGATTACATTTAAAAAAATCAACAACTGGCACACAAACTTACTGCCTTCTGCAAAATATACATTGTGCTGCTCCCATTCCAAAATCTTTCGACAGGACTTTTGCAACTGCCACCAACCAAACAGATCTCCACATCAGTCTGGAAAATAATAATTAGAACTTCTTAATATACTACATAGAAATGCTGCCTTCCAGTAATTTTTTATACCAGAAATTGCAAAATTAACTAACTCCACAGCCTGTTTTCCAACCCTATTGCATCCACTCGAGAATCCCAGACTATTTTACCTGAGGAGAACACAGGTACTGCATGCCATGGGTGGAATCAAATCAACTGTGAAAATGCAACAACTTTCAGCCAATCATAGAAAATCTTAATTCCAACCAGCTGATTCTAGGAGAGACTAAAATTTGGTTCTATGAACAAAACTTCAGAGAATCTGAACTATGAGGGAACACTGAATTATCAACTGCTGTCACCAGATATCCTTGAGATGGAGAATACTCTTTTAAAGTAACATGAAATATCAATCAGTTGCTTCTTTGACTGTCTCACGAGAGCTCTAAACACTGTTTGGAGACATTAAAAACAAACAAACAAACAAACAAACAATTCTTTCTCAAGAATAAAGGAATATCAATTTTTACTTAAGCTTTCCCATGCAGAGAAGCATTGCTTGATTCTTTATATCTAATCTGGTTTTTTTTAATATTACTATATATTTAAATAACCACCTGATTTTATTTTTGAACTATTATCAAACTTACAAAAATCCCAAGATTAATACAACCATTAAAACAACCATTCTATGATTCTACCTCGTAGAGATATGGACGTTCAGGGACACTCTCCCTTCCCTCTTCACATATTCTGAAAGAAAACATTGACATACGTGACCTTTTCCCCTCACCATTCCTAACTAAACAGCAAGTTACCCACACACATTAAACACCACCACAACCGGCGCCTCCGCCGGGGCCACAGATCCCTCAGCGCGGAGACCCCTGGGAATGACCCCGATCCCCACGGGAGCAGGAGCCCACACAACACCGGGAACAGCCCCTGGAATAGCCCCGATCCCCACGGGAACAGGAGCCCGCACAGTCTGGGAATAGCTCCGGGAAATACCGCCAGGAACAGCCCCGGTACCCACTTGAGGAGAAGCCCGTCCAGCCCCGGGAATGACCCCAGATCCCACCGTCGCAGGAGCCCGGCCAGCTCGGGAATATCGCCGGGAAGAGCCCCGGTCCCCACCGTTGCAGGAGCCCGCCCAGCCCCGGGAATAGCCCCGGGAACAGCCCGTTGCTCACCGCCGCAGGAGCTCGCCCAGCACGTTCGCCGCCCTTCGCCGCCGCTCCGCCATCGCCGCCACAACCGAACGTCCCGCGCGCCGCAGCTACGGGAGCGCTGTGAGGGGAGGGTGAGGCACCACCCCGGATCCCTCCGCCGGAAACGAGTCCCCGGCTTTGGGAAGGGACCGAGAAGGACAGAGGCGGCCGAAGGGCGCGGGTGGGCACCAGGAGACGCGGCGGGGCCGGAGAGAGCGGGGGCTGGACGGGAGCCCGGTTGAGGTTGGGGCTGGGTCGGGATTCGACCGGCCGGCGCGGCAGAAGCGGCGCGCACGGCGCGGAGGGACATTGCTCATAACTAAGGCGGGGTGAGGCGTCCTTCCTTTTCCGGGCGGGGCGCGGCGCAGACGGCCACGAGCAGCTCCGGCGCCGCCGCCATGGTGAGGGAGCGCCGGGACGGGGGAGCCGGGAACGGGGAGTGAGGGGGGCCGGGGGGAGCCGGGCGGGCACCGGGGCTGGGCTGGGGGATCGGGGCCCGGCGGGCAGGGCTGCGCCGCGGGCAGCGCTCGGGCCGCGCTGGCGGCGTGGGGAGCGCGGCCGCCATTTTGGGCCTGTCAGCGGCCGCATGGGGACCGTGAGGGACCGGGACGGGCTGGGCCAGAGCTCGGCTTGGTGGCCCAAAGTCCCCCCTTCTTAGGGCAGAGCGGAGTTTGGGCCCATATCGCCGCCTGGCAGGGCCTTTTAGTTACCTCACGTATTAGTCTAAAGCAAAACAAGCCCCACGGGAGCGTTTGGGTCCACGTAGAGTGAAAAAGAACGGCTTCTCTAAACGCCCTATTTGTGGTTTCTTAACTTTCTTTTCTTTTTTTATTTATTTTATTGCAAAACAGGCTTTAGGAGGCCTTGGTCTGGAACCAGTTTGCAGATGAACAACTTTTCCTGCCCATAACAGTTCAGGTTGTGCTCTGGTTCCCTCACGTCAAGTTTGGTGCTTGTGTTGGGATCTCTGCACCCACAGCAGGGCCAGAGGCTGCTAGTGACCAGTGTCACAGGCACAGACAGCACTTCCATTGCCACGAGCTCGTTAATTTTGAGGGGTTTAGTATTTTTAATGCTTTCAAAACGAATTTTGGATGAGAAAGGGAAGGAAAATGCTTTGCCTGTACTGTTGCCACAAGATTAATTAACAATCAATACAGTCTAATGCTAAAAGATTCTTTTTTAAAGGATGCTGTTCACACTGGTAGGCTATTTTGAGGCATCCTTTCAGCCTCTTTTTCAGGCAGCTGATGCAGAGGGCAGTTTAAATCTTCACCTTGCAAACTTTTAAACACCAGGAATTTTTCAGGGAGCCCAGACTTCACAAAAAACTCATTCTGACCGTTTGATGGTCTGCAGTCATTGTGAGTGTCTGAATTGTGTTGGAGAAGTTGGTTACAGCATTTGAGCTGTTAAACATAATATAAATAATGTTAATTAATTATCTAAATAAGTATTTATTTAAATAAACACAGGTGGATTTTCCATGGGCTTCTTAACAGCAAGTGGGAAATAGTTTAGAAAGTGTTTATCAGAGAGCCCAGAGATTCAATCCTAGAGTAATTCTGCCCAAATTCCTTGTAAATCTATAAAATTTGAGACCTAAATAATGTTAATATTAATAAATAAATTATCTAAGCAAACACAGGTGGGTTTTCCATCAGCTTTTTAACAGCAGGTGGGTATTAGTTTAGAGAATTAAAGACAGTGTTTATTAAAGAGTGCAGAGATTCAATCCTAGACTAATTCTGCCTAAATTCCTTGGAAATCAATGAAATTTAAAACCTAAGTAATGCTAATATTAATAAAAAATTATCTAAATAACCACAGGTGGGTTTTCCATGGGCTTTTTAACAGCAGGTGGGCAGTAGTTTAGAAGGTGTTTATCAAAGAGCGCAGAGGTTCAGTGCTGGAGTGATTCTGCCCAAATTCCTTGGAAATCTATTAAATTGGAGACCTGGGCTGTAGTTTCTGGCTGTGGGTTGTGCTGTGGAGTTTCCCACTCCCCCGTGGAGGGGGAATATTGCTGTGATGACGTAATTTGCGTCCTACCCAGTGCTCAGTGACAGTTGCCTGCTGTCGGTGCGCTGGCACTGCCGGGTGACGACTCCCGAGTTCTGAGCAATACCGAGGGCTTGGCAAGCCAGCAATTGAGGAATTCCCTGTCCCTGTGCTAAGAGTTCCTCCTCCCCAGGCTTGTGCTCGGCCGCTGATCTCGGTGTACTCGGAGAAGGGGGAGGCCTCGGGGAAGAACGTGTCCCTTCCCGCCGTGTTCAAGGCCCCGATCCGCCCCGACGTCGTCAACTTCGTGCACACCAACCTGCGCAAGAACAACCGGCAGCCCTACGCCGTCAGCGAGCTCGCAGGTACGCCTGGGCACCGCCAGGGCACCACCAGGGTGTGCCAGGGACACCTCCAGCCCCAGGAGCTGCTGCCTCACTGGCTTGGCCGGGAGTTTTACTTTAATCATAGAATCGACCGGGTTGCAAAAGACCTCCGAGATCATCAAGTCCAACCCTTGATCCAACCCGTGGTGGTTTGAACCACCACAAAAATAAAAATCCAATCTCCAGCCTTCCCCCACCCCTTCCCACAATTTTACCTCAGCACCAAAGAGAACCTTTCAGGCAGACACACCTCTGTAGGGGGACAGGGAAGGGAAGATATATACATTTATTCTACACAAATTAAATACTGTACAAGCTAAAAGCAACTATATATATATACACAATATTACACACGTCTATCATCCTTCTAAGCCTCTCCCTTAATTCAGTCCAGGAGGAGCCCTGATAGGTAAGCAGTCTTTCTCTCATGGGGGTGTTCAGGGAAAAGGATTTCCTCTAATTCACTCCCCCCCCAACCTCCAGCTGTTTACTGAAGTAAGTTCCCAGCCCATGGCACTGATGCCACATCCAGTCTCATCTTAAACACCTCCAGGGATGGTGACTCCACCCCCTCCCTGGGCAGCCCATTCCAATACCTGATTACCCTCTCTGTAAAAAATTTCTTCCTAATATCCAACCTAAACTTCTCCTAGCACAGCTTAAGACCGTGATATATAAATTTGGGTTCTTTAATACCTTGAGACGGCATCAAGAGAAGCAGCCACGGGCTTGTTCCCAAGGGATTTCTTTATTAATTTAGGGGAGCACGTAAGGGGACTTGGCCAAAGTTAAAAAGGACACCCCACAAGTGTTCTACGATACTGATTTAGCATATACTGTTAAACCACAACACTTAAGGCAAAATCCAGTAAATCCACAACACTTGAGGCAAATTCCAACCACTTCCACAACACCTAAATCGAGATCCAATCCCTCCAGCTCCAAACCACCCTAAGCACCAAGAAAGGAGCAAAGAAAGACAAGCAGAGGGAGCAAGAAGAGAGGAGAAAGGGAGAGACAGATCATGTAGCTACCACCAGAGCCTTGTAGAGCAGCTCTCACCAGTCCAATGGCAGGGCTGTGACATGAGGCAAACACGTGCCCTTGGTTTTATCTGCTCTGGTTCTGACCCAGTGATAACTGATCTGGTGTCTAACAACTGGGAGTTGGAACTAGAGAAGCACTTTTAGTGGGATTCTGCATAGAAAGCACCGTGGCTGTTCTGATTATTAACATTATTATTCTGATTTTAAACTGTGTGATGATAAAGCCCAAGGAGGAGCAGAGGGGCAGGTCTTTCTCAGGCCTGGTGTTCAAAGCACCATTAAGATTTTCTTTGTTAAATCTGGTGTTCTTAACTTTGGAATAAATTTTCCTGAAATCCTTCCACTGCCTGGCATTTCGGGGGTACCTGCGTGATACCTTACTTCACAAGAATCCCTGCTCCATATTAACCACCTGAGGCTTCTGCCAGCAAAAATCCTCTGCAAGTGGGCATTTGTTAAGAGTTGTTTCAGCAGCTTGTAGGTGCAGGTGATTTCTGCTTCCCAAGAAAGCTGTGCTGGGAATGTGCATTTTTAACCTTTATTTCTGAGGTTTCACATAAGCATTTTAACCCACCAGGAGCAGCAGTGCCAAGTTAAAGCTCCAAACGGAGGATCAAACTTAAAAGTGAGTGTGTTAACACGTTAGGTCAGCAGCAGGTATATTAATATGCTGAGAATAAGCTTATCTGGTCAAGGTTGTTCTGCTGAAATGATGAGATTCCACTTCATTGGTCCGTGTTTCTGAAACACATGATGTGTGGAAGTTCTGATTGGTGCCTGGAGTTGAGCAGCTCCCTGACTTTGGGAGGGTCCCTGTTGTCACTCTGAACGCCCCTGTCTCTGTTGCAGGTCACCAGACCAGTGCTGAGTCCTGGGGGACCGGCAGGGCCGTCGCTCGGATCCCTCGCGTTCGAGGGGGTGGCACTCACCGCTCCGGCCAGGGGGCCTTTGGGAATGTATCCTTCCATGGCTGTGCTTCCAGCAGGGGCACTGAGCTCAGCCAGCTGAAAAGTTATTCCTGAGTGTCTAAAAGACACAGTGGTTCCCTCTGTGTCTTTGGAACCATGTGACGTGTCCTGTCTTGCCATGATGTCGTAATTTGCGTCTTACTCTGTGCTCAGGGACAGTTGCCTGCTGTCAGTGACCTGGCACAGGTGACTGACGACCCACTAACGCTGAGCAAGCACTAAAGAGTCACTTTGGGAAGAGAACATTCCAAAGGGTTGTTCTTAACTCCACCTCAGATGTGCCGAGGCGGCCGCATGTTCGCTCCCACCAAGACCTGGCGGCGCTGGCACCGCAGAGTGAACATCACGCAGAAGCGGTATGCCATCTGCTCTGCCCTGGCTGCATCTGCCCTGCCAGCTCTGGTCATGTCCAAAGGTGGGAATTCTGTCTCTGGGAATGTTTGCTTGAGCCAGTGTTGGGTACTGTGTGATGACTCCAAAGGAATTTTGCACCACACGGCGATGCCGTTGGCTTTCTGTGCATGGAAGCAAAGGTTTGCTTAATACTCAGGTACAGCAAGTCCTGTCTGAGACAGACCTTGAGACTCCACTGGAACTTCACTGCTGTGGTTACTGTGCCTGAATATTAATTCATTCATTTCATTGAACAGCAGTGCCAAGTTAAAGCTCCAAATGGAGCATCAAGCTTAAAAATGAGTATGTTAAACATCTTAGGTCAGAATCAAGTACATTAGTATACAAGGAATAAATTTCTCTTAATAATAATCGAGGTCTGTTTTGCTGAAATGATGAGATTCCACTTCATTGGTCCGTGTTTCTGAAACACATGATTGTGTGGAAGTTCTGATTGGTGCCTGGAGTTGAGCATCTCTGACTTTGGGGGGATCACAGTGTTGTCACTCTCTGAATGAAACTCTTTCTGTTCCAGCCCACCAGACCAGTGCTGAATGAAAAATTTAATTTCCAGTTTATCATGTTGTATCATTGGTGAATACAGAAGGCAGTAGCTTTGACACATGGGTCCAGCCAAGATCAGTTGTAACATAATCTCTTGTTAGGTCACCGCATTGAGGAGATTCCAGAACTTCCTCTCGTTGTTGAGGACAAAGTGGAGGGTTACAAGAAAACCAAGGAAGCTGTTCTGCTCCTTAAGAAGCTTAAAGCTTGGAATGACATCAAAAAGGTGAGTTGGTAAGGTGTGTTTCCAAGAGCAGGCGATTCAGCCCTCCAGAGGGAATTCCAAATAGTGGTGTGTTTTGAGCCCAAAGAGTGATGAACTCCTCACTGGTCCGTGTTGCAGATCCACAGTGATGATGGTGACGTTCTGACTGAAGCGGTTTGGGGGGTGAGGGGTGCCTGGTGGGATTTGGGCTGTTGGGATGCTCACAGGTTTCCCCCTTTCCCAGGTTTATGCCTCCCAGCGCATGAGGGCCGGGAAGGGCAAGATGAGGAACCGCCGGCGCATCCAGCGCAGGGGGCCCTGCATCATCTACAACGAGGACAACGGCATCATCAGGGCCTTCCGGAACATCCCAGGTAACTGGGACACAGCTGCTCTTCTGGCAGGAGACCGCCTGGAATGATGAGATTCCACTTCATTGGTCCGTGTTTCTGAACCACGTGATTGTGTGGAAGTTCTGACCCGCTGCAGTGGCCAATAATGCTCTTTGTAACAACCTGTTCTGGTGATGTTGAGGGTGTTTGTGACAAATGTCACAGCTGTTCCCAACCCTAAACTGGGTTTGGGGCAGTTGAAAATAAGTTTGTATCTGGAAAAAGAGTGATTCCTGTTAATAATAGATTTTCACACGTAGGTGTGTGTGGCTCTGTAATGTCAAAGCCGAAAAGCCGCAACGTTTGTGCGTCCTCGATTTAATTACAAATTAAAGGGATTTCTCTGCCTGGTTCTGAACAGGAATTACTCTCCTGAACGTGAACAAGCTGAACCTGCTGCGACTCGCTCCGGGGGGCCACGTGGGGCGGTTCTGCATCTGGACGGAGAGCGCGTTCCGCAAGCTCGACGACCTGTACGGCACCTGGCGCAAGGCGGCCACGCTCAAGAGCGACTACAAGTGAGTGCAGCCCCTCACACAGGCTGGGAGAGCAGCCCACGGGTGTGGGGGGAAAAGGGACAGTGGGACTGCTTCCCAAGTGCCTGTTCTCAGTGAATTAGCCGTGGTTTTATCATCCACTCACACTGGGAGTGTTTGTTTCCCAGCCTGCCGATGCACAAGATGACCAATACGGATATCGGAAGAATCATGAGAAGCCAAGAAATCCAGAAGGCACTGCGTGCTCCAAAGTAAGTGGGTTTGTGTAATGAATGTCACGTGTGGTTTCTCTAGTCATTGCTAAATGTGAGGTCTTGTTATGGGATCAGAAATCTCTGTGCTGGGCTGTCACAGGGCTGGGATTTCTTAATTTCTGGGTGTAAACATCAGGAATTTAAGCTGCCCAAATTTCAGGGAGAATTTATCAGAGCTGCCATTGCAAAATGAGGTGACACTACGTGTCTGTGCTTTTCAGGAAGAAGATTCACCGCAGGGTCCTGAAGAAGAACCCGCTGAAGAACCTGAGGATTATGATCAAGTTGAACCCCTATGCCAAGACCATGCGCCGCAACACCATCCTGCGGCACGCCCAGAACGTGAGTGGGGCAGTGGGACAGGCACACCTGGGTTGGTGCTTCGGGTGTCACACTGATCATCTCCCTGTCCTTTTCA